TAGTAGTAGGAGGAGTAGTAGGAGTATAGGAGTAGAAGTAGGAGTAGGAGCAGCAGCAGCAGCGGCAGCGGCGGCAGCAGCAGCAGTAGCGGCAGCAGCAGCAGAATTATTATTATTTTTGGTGGTAGCAGCAGCGGCAGCTGCAGCGTAGCTATCGATGTAGAGGTAGATTTCAGAGGTAGAAGGAGAGAGTAGCAACCGCAGCATCTGCAGTGTAGCTTTGGTTGTGGTCGCGGTAGAATATATTTAGAACTGTATGTGCCTGACAGGACCCATGCACCGAGACTGTGGAGAGTCGTGCGGGCCCTTCTGTTGCCTTGGCAGCCCATGCCCGTCGCGAAGTCTTGGGATTTCTTGAGACTGCTCGGCCTAATGGAAGCCATCGGGCTTCTGCAGCTTCAACATCCGTTATAGGTACTTGTAGCCTTGTAGAGAACGCGGACCACTCGAAACCTCGCCGCTTCACCACGACCCATTCCTGGAGCCCTCGGCTCGAGAACCCGACCCCCACATGAAGCTTTGCAAACCTGCAAAAACGCTTGGGCCCGTTGGGCCCCCATCAGGGCGCCTGGTTTGCGATGAGGTCGTCGAGGCAGACTTGGAGGCCCGGCCCTGAAAGCAGACCCTCCTCTTCCTGCTTTTTGGCTCCTCTCATCGCAAGTGCATCCAACAAGAACATCGGGCCACTGTTGCGGCTGCGGCAAAACAGGAAGATGTAAAGTCCAGGCGGAAGACGATGCACACTTCACTGAGCTGCGGCATCTGGTGGGAGCCCTGGCTGTGCACTCCGGGGACTCGCAGGTTTCTGCCTTGGGGTCTACAGGGTGATGGTGTTTCGGCAGAACCCGGGACGAGCGTTGCTTTGCAAGCATGCTGGATCATCTTGGGACTGCTTTTTCTTGTGTATCAGCACTAAGGCACGAAGGCCGTGCCAGAAAATTTCAGAACTGCAAGAAAGGTAAGCTCGATGTCGTGGCTCCAAGCCGGATGCATTTACGCACACAAGCGCATCAGCCGAGGTCAACCGCTGAGGGGGCCCGCGCTGTGACTTCAGGCATTTTCCGATCCGATGCTTCACCTGACAAGGGCCTCAAGGGTACCCTTCGGTCGAAAAGGGCGGCAAAGCGTGGCTGCAGCGAAACTGACACACGTGAATGCTGCCGCCCCGAAAGTAACTGGCAAGTATCCATTCGGATACATGCTGGATATTGCCTTTTTGGGTCTGCTGAATGCAGGATGGGGCAACTTCCGCACCTCATACGGAAGCTTAGGGTGCCAAAAATTTGGCTGTGGCGATGTGCCGATCCAATTCTACATGCAACAAGCAAGAGCTTTCGTGATGTTTGTTGTCAAGCAACTCCTGTCAGCTCGAAGATGACGGAACACATCCCTGCAGCTGTTCTATCCAGGAGAACTCTTTAGCTATCGCCAAATGGCGCCCACCTCAAACCATGCCATGGATGTAGAGCCTCTAGACATGAACTTTCATCGACTAAGCTTGAAGCGGCCTTGGCATGGAGAGGTTTGGGTCGCTAAAGGGTCTGCGCTTCTGTGTTGGCCAACCCACAAGATGTTGGCCTGGTTTGCAGTTCTCTGCAGTGCGAATCTTGGGTCTTGATTTGAAACGGAGCCGCTTCCACAGCGAGCACGACGTCTTGAATATCTTTGTTTGCATCGTAATGTATCGAAAGTCAAGTCAGGTCCTCATCACAAGACGAGCCTGCACCAAATCCCCTGCTTGTTCCAGTGGTGTCAGAAGCTCTGTGCCCACACCTTGCGCTCAACCCTTTCAGGGTCCCGAAACCCCAAAATGCAATATGCTCTTGGCGACAACGTAACAAGTATTTCATGTGTCGACTTCTCTGCTTTCTGCTCTGCTGATGTTTGTCTCGGCATGCATGCTTAAATATGGCTCCATCCGTCTGTCTATTTGTGCGTCTGTCCCGTCTGTCTCAGACTACTGCAGTCAAAGCATCCCCCCATGCCGCGCATCCCCTTCCCCCTCCTCTCCGTCCCTCTCTCCGTCCCTCTCTCTCTCTCTCTCTCTCTCTCTCTCTCTCTCACACACGCATACGCAGACATCTGCAGACGGTTGCACTTTTCCAGACTTTGCTCACCCGCGCCAGGTCACCGT